AACTTACCGTGATGCAAGCAAATTCAAGCTTGTGAATGCAGTAGTTCAGAACAACAAATACCTCTAACTCACAATAAGGAGTTAGATTCTGAAGACTGGAGAGAACAACTACTACTGATGACCAATCAGGAAGAGCAAGAAGTGAGACAACCAGAGCAACAAGCAGAATCAGAAACTGTTTGCAATACACCAAGCAAACTGAAATCTGAACCACCAGTTATTAGACCACAGAGGAACAGACGCAGACCAGCTTACTTGAATGATTACGAGTGAACTCTTAACTGAATATTGTGACTCTTGATCGATTATGTTTGAGCTCTTAACTGATATGTTATTGTTAACCATATGCTAATGAGAAGAAGTGGAAATTAACGCGAAAGAGATTATCGCTCAGATAGGTTAATTTATGTTACTTTATATACATATTGTTATCGTTATATAATATCGAGAATATCGTTTAATATCGTTTATGGAAGTATCACAAACTCTTGAGCATATGAACTCTTGAAAAAACAATATCATTCCATCGTAGTAGGCGAATGTACCGGCGACTGATTAACTTTGCCAACCCTACTTTAGGTCATTTTTTATTATCCAAGAAACGTTCCGAGCCTGTGAGACCAGTATGAGTACTTTGTTCTGCCCCATTGTACCAGACGTCCACGCATTGTCTTCAGCAACCAACCACACAAATAAATCACCAGGTCTCTGAGGTATACATAGTGTCGGTAAATTTAAAGGGCAAAATGAATAAAACGTTCGTGCTGGACAAGTTCCTTTTTATTTTTTTATTGACGTTATAGAAATTTTATTTTCCTTATTGACGTTATAGAAATTCACAAACGAAAATGGCTACCACTTGAGATGACGCCTCCACAGGCGTGCACGCAGGTTTTATGCGGCCGTTATTCAAACGTTGATGGCGCTCTTGTCCATACCAGTACTCAATATGGCAGCGTGGCAAGAAAGCTTTCCTCATACCGACTTATCGGGGGGGGGGCTCACAACGGACTTTACTACCCTCTTCTTAGCAACCACGTCTATGAACAGTGTGATCTTAAAATGAGTATCAGATAGATTTAATGTACATCTACCAAACGACAGTACTAATTAATCATTTTTTTCTGTGCATTATTTTTAAAATAATCTTTTTTTCCACTTCACCGGTTTTACAGAATTTAAAAATACTTGTTGTGTATGTCTATCATGAGTAGGATGTCTAGCGACCTCCACGCTCACTTTGTGAACACTATGGTTAGATAATCTCTTGTGAACTATGTCAAAATAACATTTATGACGATTTCTGTTCTATATGCTCTCAATTTGTATTCCATAATTTCATGTTCATCATCATATACTAAAAATTTATTGATCTTCTTTCTTAACTGGATTTGTATTTTTGTAAGTTATGTTTTTAATATTAATATGGTGATAATTTAGTTATTTTATGTACTGAATATAATTATTGTGGTATTACTAACTGGTTATTCCTGATCGGAGCCATTCCACTGAACACTCAACACGAACGAATGAAATCGAACAAATTATCGATACCGGCTGAACTTAGAAGCGTATGAAAACGTATCCTAAATCTGTGTTTATTATTATATAAACTCTTTAGTGTGGTCATATCGTGATTGAGTGGAGCTCTATTGACGTGGTTAGTTACACTACTCTATATTATATTGTTCCTGTCAGTGCATGATAACACACTGAGTGTACAGCTGTTGTGCTAGGCCATTGCAGATTATATACTGCATGATTATAATTTCAGGTCTGTCGCATTTTTGAAAACCACTTATTAAGCTTCCATCGTTGTAACCGCTGTGACACGCGTACAGAACACCGGCAATGGACACTGTGTCGTTCTACATAGCCTTCATTGCTGGTATTTTAACAATTTTACCAATTGCCGGCGCACCGTTTGGGACTCGACCAAACATCGTTTTCATTTTAGCTGACGACCTCGGCTGGCACGATGTTGGATACCACGATTCTATCATCCGAACGCCGAACATCGACAAGCTTGCGGCGGAAGGAGTTAAGCTGGAGAACTACTATGTTACGCCATTGTGCACACCAACAAGAGCAGTGCTGATGACGGGCCGTTATCAGGTAATATAATTTAGACTTAAACATTCCACTCAAGTTCAGCCATATAAACATTCATTTGGCATATTATAATACAAATTCGGGTGGTCTGTGTCAGATCTGCCCATCTTTCTATTGTCGCCCGGCCTCAACCCAGTGACTGCTGCACGGTTTTTCCTTCGGTTTTTCATAAATATATATATTTGTATATGCACGTTTCACGAGTGAATGGTGTACATGTGGGTGCTATACGTGCACTTCATTGTATGAAGGTAGACTTTACATATAAAATCATTCACGGTGACTGAACCTGACTGTCAACGACTAGTGTTGTTTGAGTGGTTAATCTGGGTATATAGTTTTTACAAAAATAGAAATTCAGAAACTAAATCAAAACTTGTAAATCATGATCAGGGGCATATTAACATTCAACTCGAATAACCCGTGGATGATGTAAATTCTAAAATTTTGTAAATATTATATCGATTCAAAATAAAATGAGGTATGATGAATCGCCATTGGGACGCCCTCTGTACTGCCCTCTATGCGCAAAGTCGACAAATAAATATTATATCTAGCGGATAGACTTTATTCATTTTCTTATTAAAAATCTTAAAATTGTGGATAAAGCCGTTTGGGTTTTCATTTCCGAATAGGTAGATCGGTAAGGAACGATTTCATGTGCTGCATTGAAACAGAGAAACGTCGGTTTTTGATTCAAATAAGCATGTATACATTTTAATCTCCAGGTGAACATTGGTAGATAATAAGCAAATAAGTGCAAATACAATGAAAAATTCAGTTTTTGAATTGCAATAACACAGCTGCAATGATGTAAGCTAAACCACGGTACTTCTAGTAACCGTGGCTAAACCCATTGTGGTTGGGAGACTACAACATTTGAATCTGAATCTGTGCATAATCTGAGTAAAATAAGATCCAATTTTTTATTTTATTTTATTTTATAATACACTCCGTACAATACATCACATTTTAATCAGATTTATCTGTCCTGTCCAAGGATCGGTTTTCTACTAGACAAAGGTGATGACTTTAATTTATCATCATCAAGTTCCTCGGCCTCGTTCGCTATTCCTCGGCCTCGTTCGCTATTCCTCGGCCTCGTTCGCTATTCCTCGGCCTCGTTCGCTATTCCTCGGCCTCGTTCGCTATTCCTCAGCCTCGTTCGCTATTCCTCGGCCTCGTTCGCTATTCCTGAACCTGTTGTGCTTATTGAGAAGACTTTTTAAAGTGATGGACAGTGTCGTCTTTCGTCCTAAATATTAATTTTAATAATTGTCCAGCTAACTTTATCAAGTATCATAGTTTGTTATAAAACGCCACCCGTTTTGTTATGTAAATCGGCTTGAAATGTACTATACTATGTTTGTTTTTCTATAACGTAGCGTACTGGGATTTTCTCCAAATCATTAAAAATGAACAATACGGATTGTTTAATCTAATCATGAAAATCAACAAGCTGGTGATCGAACACATCACGACCATACAGAGTTACAGAGAAATGTGATGAGGTATATAAGTATCTAAACTGATCATTAAAACAAAGACAATATATTCTATTTCATGATGAATATAACTATTAAATAATATGCGCGATGGGGTAGGGGGGTTACATTTGAAATACACCTAGTGCTGCTCGACCAATTAGAATGATCCATTGCAGGAATTTATATACATTCAATGTCTTGTTTTCTTGTCTGACATCTCAGGTCAAATTGTATTGTTCTTGTCAATTGTTCTAGGACTTTCATACCGTTCAATATGCAGAATCTGTCTTAATTTTAGTATGCAAACGTGTACTGCATTTGCATTCGAGGACTTTTATGGCATATTCCATTTAAAAACAGGGGCATGCGGCCTTGACATTTCCTTGATGTCGGGCTTTATCTTATGCATAAAAAAGGACTGTACAAATACTATTCCCGACTTAGGAAATATGTTCATCGTGAAGTGTCTAGTTTATAAATAAATTGAAAAAAATATTTGCCTCTCATTGTCATAACAATTATAGTCACTGGTGAATATTGTTTGTAGAAAACTATTTCAAATTATCAGTTGCCGAAGTGTCTGTTTGCCATTTAATTCTTTATTAATATCAATATTTATTACATTTCAATATACATACCAATATATAATTCAATAGAGCAAATCTTCGATTCTATTATTTGGCAGTTTATCGTTCTCCATGGTAACGTCACGTGTTTATAACTGGCCGTGAAAGCGAATTACATGCGAACAACTCTATCTATTGAATGACATTTGACACTTGTCAATCTGAATTAAGTACATGACAGACATACACGTAGGAATACATTGCAAGATTGTTGCATTCGATTATTTTTAATTAAAAAACATCAATTATAATAATTTAATTGAATATTAAGTACCTTAATAATATATGTAAACATTGAATGATATACGACATATGGTGCAATCAATGAACCAGGAATACCAATAACCTTGTTTCCATTCCGTCACTTGTAGTTACTTGTATATGTTTATAACAACAAATACTACATAACCAGCTACCATAATATTTATATGCGATTCGTGTGATTTGGTTCAAATGACACAAGCGGCGATACAATCCCACCAAGCGATATTTAGCGATAACCGATTTATCACATTACCATGGTAGATTTTTTTAAACGAAACAAATTAATTTCATTAGTAATTTTGTTTTTGTGGTACTTTGTGATTCGTTCCAGCAGGGGATTTTTTTGTTTGAGTTTGTATTATTCCGCAATTGCGCACATTTATATGATCGTTCAGTATAACGCGGTGATTCAATGTGAATACCTGCCGCCCGGTCTGTGAAGCTCAGTGACAGAAAAACCATTGCTAATTTAAACAATTTAAACATTATTATTGAATAGATTTGGGACTATATATAGTAAGTTTCAAAGATTTAACGAACAATCGAAAAGCGGACAGCTACTGTATGACAACATATACACATATCTTGGTTTTTCTGGTGTAGCAAACATTTCCGTATAAAACTGTGTTGCACCAGCCTGTCCGTATTTTGTGTTACGCACATTATATTCAAGTCCGCCAGCAGTCAATCTAAGCATTAAATCTAAAATTTAAAACTATCGTATTGCTGCGCAAAACAGCGTAAAATAAGAATTCTGGTGTCGCTCTCAAAATTATCGCCTTCGCGTACTAGTATGTTTTCTACTTCCGATGTGATTGATGAGCGTGTGTAGTGTTGGCCTGGATAAACCGATCAATCCACACTTAGTAGTTGGTTTCAAACTCGTCTTCATTGCCGGGAATTTCAGTCAGAACAAACAGTTCTTGCAACCCATTATCATTGACGGTAGTATGCGCGGGTATAACAGGAAGGAATAAATTGGGGAAATGGCACAAACATTTATGATATGTATGGAAGTATATTGAAAATGAAATATTTATATTTTGTATTGATCATTGTGTAGCCTGTTTTGTTTTCGTCATCATTATTGACGATGAAAGATATGCAGCTTTATCGCCACTGGCAGTTGCCGATTGCGAGGGAATGAATAAATGGTGCAAAATTACTAAATATTTATTTTCATACTGCACATGTGTTTTATATGCTATTAACCCCTATC